TTTTCTAGGTATAAAAACATGTTGCAACACATTTGGAACATTAAAAACTAAAAACTTCAAAGAAACGAAAATGTTTTGAAGGAAAAGACAAAAATACCCCCGGGTTGCCTCCCGGTTAGCCGCCCTTGTTTTAAGTTGTTAGCTCGACATGACCCCTGAATATGCATAAATCTAAGTATGTGGGGCTCTCCAACTCACTAAACTTTTCGCCACCTCCTTCAATGGAACACTTATCTTATACTTGACTTTCTTTTTGTGTGGGAACCATGTTGGACTTAGACCCTTAATGACAACAATCGTCCAGCCGACCCCTTTCTTGTACTTGTCCAGTAAGGTGGCCAAATCTTCCTTCTTTGATAAGGTGGTCGATTTGATGACCGGTTGGGTGTCTTCCTTCTCGGGGTACATATCCTTTGAAGGGTCCAACAAATTTATCATTTTCGGCTCTTGTGGTTGGTCTACCGGTGAAAGGAGTTTCTCATTGGTAGTGGGTGGCTCAGCCTCTTTTTTGTCAACCTCCAACACCTCCTCTACAACTTCCATGTCAGCATTCTTAATTTCTACTTCTTCCTGGTCAGCCTTTTCCACTTCTACTTCTTCCTCCTCTTCTCCATCTTCAAATTGCAATCTTGGGTCATCAAAAATTTTCCCATCGTTCAAGGTGATGGCAGAAACAGTATGTCTTGGGTCCTCTTCGGTCTGCGATGGTAATTTTCCTTGAGTTTCCAATATACTCACAGATTGAGTAAGTTGTGCAATTTGTTGCTCTAAGCTTTTGAGGCTAGCTTTGGTTGTTTCTTGGAAGATTTGGGTAGTAGTGGCAAAGCTTTTCACAATGTCTTCCAAGGACATGCTCGAAGTTTCAGTTTGTTGGGGAGGTGGAGGATATGGTTGTTGGAACTGTGGAGTTGGTTGGTATTGGTCATATCCCCAAGCTTGGTAATGGTTGTTTCCCCAAACTTGGTTGTTGTCCCACCATTGATCATGTTGAGGTTGATCATAACTCCATTGGTTTGGCCAGTCGTAGCTTCTCGTTTCATGCACTTCCTCCCATTCCCCTTGTGAATATGGACACATGTTGGTGTGATGTCCATTTTGAGTGCAAAAATCACAAGGAATGGGTGTGGGATGCACACTTTGGTCATTTTCAAGCATCATAACTATCTGGGCTAGTTCAGAAAGCTGGTCTTTAATGTAAGGAGTGTTCATCTCCAAGCCACACTTTTTTTTCTTTTTTTTGTTTTGTTTTTTTTTAGATAGAGATGTACCTGCTCACAAAAATCTTGACATAAACAATTAGTAACACCGTGTCCCCGGCAACGATGCCAATTTGTTAGGCGTGTCAGACCCAACAAATAAAGGGGTACGATATACTCCAAAAGAATCCCACTATATTGCACTAAAAGGTAGTACAAGGCAAGCAGGGTCGATCCACAGAGACACGGGATAATTAGTCTATACCTCTTTGCGCAAGGTACTATGGTCACCAACAGTAAAGAGGGGGGTTTAGAATGTTATGATTAAACAAACAACTAAAACATAAGTAATCAACTAAATGCGTGAATTAAATTCAGAAATGGTAAGGACTCCAACCTCATGTATGAAAACTTAGCAATGTGATTCCAAGATAACATGATATTTGCTCAATTCTATCTGAATTGGTACTTGAAAGTGTTAACAAGCTCTAACACTTCCCATTCACCACATTAATTAACCAAAACAAGCTCTTTGGTTAACCCTAACCTTACTAACCTAATCTAAACACGCTCTTAGAATTAGATTGAAAGATTGCATTAAACTTTATGTGAATGTTCCCAACAACACCCAATACTCCTCACAAGCTCGGGAGCGTAAGAGTGTGTGAATAAGATTTACACTAAATTCATTCAATGGAAATCAGTTTAGTGCTTGTTACTTGTTCAATTTCACAAAACAATTACGGATTTTGTAAAAGAGATAACTTGAATGACCTAACCCTAATGCAAATGGCCAATAAGAATCACAATTAGAATCAAACATTCGATTAAATCAAAATCAAATTCACTAGATAGAAATTAAAAGCAAACATCAAGTCATATGATTGAAATCACAACTAAGAAGTCAAGACATGAAGTTGGAGAAACTAGGGTTCTAGCCACACATGGCTAGAACTAGATCACAAGTTTAAAAGATGGAAATGTATGCAATTACAACTTACAAATACTAGAAATAATGTTTCCAAATGATTGCAAATCAAACCCTTGCAAAAACCTTCGAAAATCCTTCTCAAAATGTGCTCTGATATGTTGTTTTGTCTGTAAAAATGGCCCTTAACCCGTAATATGAAAGATAGGAAAAACTGCCAAAAGTTGGTTTCTGGGTCGAACACGGCCCGTGTTGGACATAGAGTAAAACTAACACGGCCCGTGTTCATCATGGTCAACAGCTCCCATTTTGGTCAACACGGCCCGTGTTGGACATAGAGTAAAACTGACACGGCCCGTGTTCAGCATGGTCAACAGCTCCCATTTTGGTCAACACGGCCCGTGTTGATTTTTCAGTGTAAATCCAACACGGCCCGTGTACCCCTCTGACTCCGAATCCAAACTTGATTTTTCCAACTTTTTCGTTCTTCGCCCGATCATCCCGAAATCTTCACCAATGCTTCCCGACACTTCCCAAAGCGTGTTCCAACCTCCGGTTTACCTGAAAAAGACATGAAAATGTGCAACTAAGGTTGTTCTAGAGACTAACATGAAATATGATGAAATGCAAGACAAATGAAGGACAATTATGCTAAATAGATGCATGAAATGGGACTAAAAGGTGTGCAAAAAGGTGCACAAATTGCACCTAACACACCTCACATAAGGTTGACGTCGATCCGTTGGGTTGCCAACACGTGGCATGATCTGGGTGGGGCTACGTGGCTGACTTCGCGCGCAAGCTACGTGCGACGCACGTGCGTGTGACTGTTAGTGAAGTTCTCTAGGTCAGATGGCTTCTTCAAGAACTCAACATTGCTTCCGCTGGACCGACCCCACTATTTTTTGATAATCAGATTTCTCGTCACATTGCAAATAACTTTGTGTTTCATAAACGGACCAAACACATTGAACTGGATTGTTTTTTTGTTCGTAAATGTGTCGACTCCAAAGAGATTCATCCGTGCCACATTGACTCCAACATGCAGATTGTTGATCTTCTTACAAAAGGGTTAGGAGATCAACAACTTTGTTTCTTACTTGACAAGTTTGACTCTCGTGATCTCTATGCTCCAACTTGAGGGAGAGTATTGGATTTTAAACATTAATTTATTATTATTTCTGTATCTTGTGGCTTAAGTTTAGGACATTCTGTTTTTATCTCTTTGCTTGTATTTAACCCATTTTGTTTCCATAGTTGAATCTTCTAGGCAATGTGTTTAGTTTTTAGAAACCATGAATTATGGTTACACGTATTTTAATGTATCAAAAGATTGCATAATGCAAAGTCATGGCATGATAGTAGGAATGAATGTAAATTGATCAAACCATGCGACCATGCAAAGTAATCACACAACCGTGTACTCCTTGATCAATACACACGACTTTGTAAGATACACAACTTTGCAGGAAAGAAGACACGGTTGTGTACCTCCTGACATAAAAACAAAAAGTACTATCTCAACTTTCATGACTTTGCATAGGAATTACCATTGATGCTCATGTGTGTACTATGAGTAACTTTGTTGACCAGCTCATTAAAAAAGTCAAGTCATGGGGAAATATTTATTTCACACTATTATTAGTTTGGAAACGTTATTGTGAAGTCAAGCGAATATATATAGGCTAGGAGGCGGATTCCTTCGGTATTTAGTAAGTATTTTTTTTATAAGTTTGTCACTCCAAATTGAAGATATAAACACCTATTGCTTATCTTTTGACCATCCATGTTAAGTTAGAGTTAGTGTTTGGCGGTTTAGATGTTTAGATGATAATATTATGTGAGAAATGTTGTGTGTAAGTGATTTAATCAACATTTTAAAGAACAATTTCAACTTTATTAAACAAAATCAAAGGATTTATCCACGGGGTTCATGTATAATTGGGGTTAATTGTAATAGATTTCATTAGTACGTAATAATTGAGTACCAAATAAGAACAAATATATATATATATATTAAATATTCTCAATGATTTTAGTCCCAACAATGATAGCTTAACGATTGGGACATATAATTCCATAAAAAAAAATTCATAAGTTTCAACCTTTGCTAAAGAATGTATTTTTTAAATATTGTAAATGCTTTGTGAATTGTGATCTACCCACCACAGTTCTATAACAAGTTGTTTATAGGATGCAATTTACCCGTTTTTATAGTTAATATATTAAATATGTAATTTATCTGTTTTTTCATAATTCATTATACAATTTTCTATATTTTCTGTAAAATCATAATATTCCAACTTTTATATTCTATATTTTGAATAAATGCATTAGATTTTTTTTTTTTTTGGAATTCCACATTAATGATTAACAATTATATGTACTAGTTAAACTTATTTGTCAAGTTATTATTCCCTTTTCAAACAGAAAGTATTCTTCTCCATTATAAAAAATGTTGGCACTTATTTATTGGTATTAGCAGTGTACAGTGTACTCATTTACCAATTATTATAATATACTATAATATATAATAAAATATTTAAATCTATAGTTATTTGTTTTATACCATTAAAAACATTCCAACTATAAACCTCAGCTTTTTCAAATAAAAATACTATATATTATTAAATGGTGCCAAAATTGGTATAAACATTTTAAATGTTGGAGGTTGGATCGGATAAGTTTGTTAAAAAATGGATGTATTCTAATAAATTCCATCAAATATTTAATGCTAAAATTTTCCATTTGATGACACGTAAATCACATCAAACGGTGGCTTTTTTCATCTCCTGATCTTTCAAGAAAACGACACACGCACTCTCTCTCTCTCACTGCAAATCAATTCGTTGCAGCTACTCTATTGTACCATGTGAATGTGTGAGAGAAAGATTGGTTCTGCCATGTGAGATGATTTAAAGCTTCAACTCATGGACCCAATAACACATCTCTCTTCATTTACATCTCACTTATTATGATTTGAGGTTCTGGTTTTTGCCCCAATACTCAAAAGGGTTTCGCTTCTTCTTCTTCCTCTTCTTCTTCATCTTCTTGTTCTTGATTTACAGCACCACCGCTTTCCGGCTTTTTACGGCGGCAGGATGAAGCTCCACAACTCCCGTCGCCGCTTCCGGTCCCTTTGTGGCCTGTTAGTGATTCTTTTGCCCGCCTTGTTCACTTCTCTTTTCGCTCAATTTTGGTTATGCATCGCCTTCGGTTCTTTCGGTGAGATTCTTTTTCGCAATTCAATCATACATTGTTGTTAAGATTTATTTTCTTGTGTGTAAAGTGCATTCTCAGGTGGGTGTTTTTTAGATTTTTATTTTTTCTGTCAATAAAGTTTAGCTGGTTTTGGTAAAGAGAATTTCTCCATGATTGTGGAATAAAAGATCGATCTTTTGTTGTCTTGCTAACATTTGTTTTTATTTTATTGTTACTTTTGGCCTTTGGGTGTGATTCCTTTCTTGAAATAACATAATTAGTAATTACACTTCGTGAAGATGCATATAAACTAGATTCATCTAAATTAAAATGTAAAGAACATTTAAAAGATGTCTAATAGATGAAATGAGGAATGCATGTTTGGGTCAATCATGCAAATGGAACCGAAATATCTTGACCTATTTGTGTCTTTTAATCTAATAAAGAAAGATGAAGTCTTTTTGAGATTGAGGAAGTCGAAATTCAAAGTTTAAGGTTTTGAGGCAAATAAAGGCATCTACACAGCCAAATGTTCCATGATTGACAATATAATAACTTTCTAATCTTTTCATGCAATTGTGTACTTGTAGATTCATTTGCTCTAAATGTAATACTATCATCGATAAATAAAAGCATGAGCAAATGAATAATCCTTTTGGGGCTTCTAGTAGATTATCATGTGGTAAAATTTCTCTATCCCTTCATTGTGGATTATCATTAGTGTTTGCAAATATCTCATGCTTCTTCAAACCCTTTTATGCAGGATTCAAGTGTTCCAAAGTTGAGGCACTCACGTTTACTCAAGAGTGCATTACAACACCAAACTGTAAGTCTGTTAAGTCATTCTTTCTGTATTAAGTCAAAAAGAAACATCGATATATAGCTTACTAGATTAAGTCATGTCCCCATTAAGTCATTATTTTATATTCACTTTCTTTGTTTTTTGTATAGTTGAATGAACAACAATCGGATCTTTGGACCCCTTTAGCTAACCAAGGATGGAAACCTTGTATCAATTCTACTTCCTCTTCTTGTAAGTAATGTAAATTTGAATCTCTACACAAAAAAAAGTAATTTTTTTTTTTTAATTTCAATCACATTTTAATGGTTTCATGTCTAATTTAAAGCATCATTACCGGAATCTTCCGGATACATCCAAGTATTCCTTGATGGAGGATTAAACCAACAAAGGATGGGGGTACGTTACATAAATATCAAACCAAAAATTCCATAAAAGATCTTTTTTTTTTTAAATATTAATTTTTCTATTATTTCTTTGATTAGATTTGTGATGCAGTTGCTGTAGCCAAAATACTCAATGCCACTCTTGTAATTCCATATCTTGAAGTGAATCCCGTTTGGAAAGACACAAGGTTCTTACTTTTTACAATTTACATTTTCATACTTAATATATTATAATCTTTAATCTAATTCATATGCTTATTTGCAGTTCTTTCGAGGATATTTTTGATGTGGATCACTTTATGAATGTATTAAAGAATGATATATCAATAGTTAGGGAATTGCCCGATGAATACACATGGAGCACAAGGGAATATTACGCTTCTGCCATTAGATCCACTCGAGTTAAAAACGCACCCCTTCACGCTTCTGCAAATTGGTATCTTGAAAACGTGTCTCCAGTGTTAGAAAGGTTCGAATACATACATATCTTTTAATACATTCTACTTCGACGCTTGTTATAAAAAACATTCGATTTTTCAAATCATCTAAAACCCTAATTTTACCTTTTTTAGCTATGGAATTGCTGCAATTTCCCCGTTTTCCCATCGGCTAGCTTTCAACAACATGTCCATTGACATCCAACGGTTGAGATGCAAAGTCAACTTTCAAGCATTGACTTTTGTTCCTCACGTTAGAAATCTTGGAGATACGCTAGTTAATCGACTTCGGTATCCTAACCACCTTCAACAAGTAGTCGAGACAAAGGGCAAAAAAGGAATAGGAAAGTTCGTTGCTTTACACCTTCGGTTTGACAAGGTACATAATACATTGACCCTAAAAAGTCAAACTCAAAGTACATTTGCCATTTTTGGTTATAATTTTGGAGTTTTAGGATATGGCGGCCCACTCTGCGTGTGACTTTGGCGGAGGAAAGGCGGAGAAGGTGGCTCTGGCTAGATACCGTAAGGCGATTTGGCAAGGACGTGTGTTGAATTCTCGATTTACAGATGAAGAATTGAGGAATCAAGGTCGTTGCCCTTTGACACCTGAAGAAATTGGTTTGTTGTTGGTGGCTTTAGGGTTCGTTAACAATACGCGCTTATACCTAGCTTCCCACAAGGTATATGGCGGTGAAGGGCGGATCTCCGCCTTACGGAAGCTATTTCCACAAATCGAAGACAAAAAGAGCCTCGCCACGTCAGCAGAAAGGGCACAAATTACAGGGAAAGCTTCTTTATCGGCTGCGGTTGATTACTATGTCAGCATGCATAGTGACATTTTTGTTTCGGCTTCTCCTGGAAATATGCACAATGCAATGGTATGTATATACAGGGACCAAAATTGCAAAAATTAGATATACCCTGGGACTAAAAATGTAACTTACTCTAAATCTTGAATTTTGACAGGTGGGACATCGTGCATACCTGAATTTGAAGACGATAAGGCCAAATATGGTATTATTGGGGCAGATTTTCATGAATAAGAGCATGAGTTGGGTGGATTTTCAAGAAGCAGTGGTGGAAGGACAAAAAAATAGGTTTGGGGAGATTAAGGTAAGGAAAGAGAAACAGTCGATTTACACGTATCCTGTTCCTGATTGTGTGTGTATCAACAAGGTTGAAAATGATGAGTGACATCATCTTTTCATTTGTGTTGTGTAGTTTGTAATGACTGAAATAAGTTGGTGGTTGTTGTTTGATGTGATTGTGAAGTATGTTGTAGTTGTAGAAAGTAGTGTCAAGTGTGTCATGTTGTTGTAGGTATTATTACAAGGATGGATGATAATATATATGGTTATAATGAGTAGTGTATTGCAACATTTGTATATTGTTTCATCATGTTAGAGAGATTGGAGTTGCTTATAAAAGTATATGCGATATTATGTGATGAATAAAATGAGGTGGAGAAAAATGTTAGAAAAATGGGAATTGTAGACAAATAATCAGTTACATGATCTTTTTGAATGTGAGGTGATATTTACATGTATATTTTTTATTCATATATTTTGACTTCTATACCTTTCATTTCAAATGAAGAGAGGGAATGTAATGAGGGTATAAATGTCAAAACATCTTTTATTTTAAATGGATAGATAAAAACATAAGTGGAAATATCAAATCCCTAAATGAATAGAGTAAACAAGATGGTCCTGTGAAATTGAATCTTGAGTAAGGCAAATCTAATTTAAAAGCATCTTTTAAATTAACCATATGTCTTTTCCAAAATACCCCTAAATATAGGTTTTATTTTTATATAATAAATATTTTATCAGGTTTCCAACGGTAAAAAAAATCAATATAGAAACAAGCCAAAAGAAAGAAAATAAAAAAGGGAAAAGGATGCAACGGTCACAAAAGGCAAATGAAAAAGGAAGTAAATTAAGATAATAATATAATAAGTAATGAATAAAGAAAAGCTTTGTAGTCTATAAAGGCTTTCTTGTCTTGTCTTTATCTTTCTTTCAATGCTTTTCGCTTTTCAATGCTTTTCGCTTTTCACTACAAAAATATAAGTTAATTGTTTTATTATATGTTTGCTTGCACATATGTTAAAGCCACGTAGTTCCTACTTTAACATAAGACTATATTCATGGTTAGAGATAAGTTATTTGTTTGAATGTTTAATTATGAATCCAAATTGATTTTGTTTTTTAAAATTTAGTCGTGAATAGTTCAAACTAAATTAAGGTTCGATTTGAACCAACTTAATATAATTCGGTTGGATTAGTTTTTAGATAATAATAAAACAAATGACTTAACCGTGAATCAAAATTTATATTAATTAAGAGTTTTTCTTTTTTTATTTAGGACATCCTTTCTAATTTAATTTTAAAACTATTATAATAGATTAACAAATAACTAAACATATATTACAAAAACTATAAATAAATAATTGTCATTGATTTGTTTTGATTATTCGGTTTTTGTATCATTAACTAAAACCAAATTGAAATCATAAAATAATAATTTGGCTTTTGTCAAAATCAATCTAAATACCTTAATCAAATAGTTCAATCAAAATTGTCCAATTAAACAATTCGATTTTAAGGATACGGGCTTAGTTTTATTACATAGTAACTTGTTATTTTATTTATATTTATATAGTTAGCTTTAATATGAGTTTATAAAGAAAAAACTCTTAAATCACATTCGAGTTTTGAGGTTTTTTTTTTTTTTAATATTTTGCATTTTTGAGTAGTTATATGTGACTTGGTATTTGGTAAGGTATGTGGAGTAATACAGTGAATAACCTATTAACTCATGTTCAAATCCTGACACTATTCAACCCTTATAGTCATAAATGTTCGCCTGCAGTGACTCCAGAGCATGAGACATAACCTCATATTTGCAACTTGAGATTAGTCGGTGCGCGAAAGCTGACTCAGAACCCTCATTATGGAAGTTCCTTTTCCAAAAAAAAAAACTTAAATTTTTCTTTATATAGAGTGCCAATTTGCAGATTAGTGTTCCAAACAAGATGGTTTTTTAGCACGAGCAAACAAATCACTCTTTGAAATTTAATTTTGTTTATGTTTTCATAAACTTGCATCATAGTAATTCTCTATTGGTTTGTCATATATATTCTCAATTTTAAATGCCATCTTAACCATAAAAAAATTCATATCTTCATACCATTAAAATAGTAAAAACTGTCTTATAAGAAATGTTTATGTTGAATCATAGTTGAATTTTATGTTAATTCTTATATCAAACTTTTGTTTCATCTTATGCTTAAATATGTTAGATAATGTATTATTTGACATAACAAAAATTAAAAATATCCAAACATGCCCTAAAGGAATCCGAAAAGATATAAATATAATATATTTTTTGTTTGTATTTATATTTAGCATATGCCTAATTAAAGCGAAAAATGAAGCATCCAACGTATTCACATATCTAACATGCAAACACTGCATCACAATTCAATCAAATATAAATCAAAAACCTATCCATCACCCCCAATTATAAAACCTCAGGAGTGGAGTCAACTAGATTAACTTCTTTACTTATCAACCACCCGTAGAGCCAGGGGTACTTCCGTCTTTCTTATCCTTGGTACTCACAGTTTTAGTAAGCTCCTTGACTTCACCACCACTCTCCATTTCTTCATCTTCAATAGGAAGAGTTCTCTTGGATCCGTCCAAAGCAACACCAAGTACAATATTCTCTTCCATTGTATTATTATTATTTGTAACAACCCTTGACCCCTTTTGTTCTGTTACAGTTGATGATGACGTGGCATCTGAATTAGGCTTCTTATCTGTTACAGACACTTCTTTATTAATGTTCTTAACATCAGCAGCTACTGGTGTGTCTTTGGTTTTGGAGTCGGGTGTCTTGGTGTTTGACTTGACTGAAGACTTGTTGTTGTTGGTTTGACTTTTTGACTTGTCTTCTGAGTTGACTTTGTAGTTGGGTTCCATTAAGAGCAAGGGGCGGTTGGAAGGGGCCCGCCCACGGGCGAAGGCTGAGTCAGCAAAGGGGAAGCCGTCCAGGTCAGCGTCGTTGTATATCTTTTGAACTGTACGGATTGGAGTTGCAAGTCGGGCCCGGTGGTGACTAATCACTCTCAGAAGATCCAACAAGATCCCTTCCTGTTTTCGTTCATATAAATAAAAAGTAAATTACAATTTTAGCCCCTGAGTTTACCACCTTTTTCGGTTTTGGTCCAAAAAAAATCGGTTTGATATTCTGGTCCTTATTTTGATGTTCCATAACGATTTTGGCAGCAGGATCGTTGAATTTAGAGTAAATTACATTTTCGGTCCCTGGGAATAGCTGGTTTTTGCGGTTTTGGTTCTTAATTGAGGTTTTTGTAACGTTTTTTTTTTATCCTGGCTCAAAGTAAACTGACTATTTTTGGTCCCTCAGTTTAGCTGGTTTTTACAACTTTGGCCCAAAAAATATATAGCCATTTTACTTAAAATAGGGACCAAAAATGTTACAAAAACCTCAAATAAGAATTAAAATTGCAAAAGAAAACTTTTTGGGACCAATATTTAAAAAAAAAAATCAGCTAAACTTAGGGACTGAAAATGTAATTTACTCTTGAATTTAACTACTCAGCTTTTAATTTTTTAAAATGACCATTTTGCCCTTGGACCAAAACTGGGAAAAAAAACAGTAAACCATAGAGACCAATATCGTAAATATCACTTAATTTTATTATCAATCTATTTTCTAAATTATAACGTATTCTATTTTTACTTGTCTTGAAAAATACAAGTTTTTAAACTAATTCACATGCAAAATGACCATTCTGTCCTTGGCCCACGGCACTTTTAGTTCCCTTTTTTTTTTTTGAATTTTGTAGATACTAATGTTCTTCATACAAATTTATTATGAGTATAAATTTATAATATTATTACCTTTACACATAAGTACTCTTCAAAATGAGAAGTTTTCACAAAGCATGATATCAGAATCTGCACAACAGAGACATTAAAATAAGTAAAAATGGAAACAAATCAAAAAGTACATAACTTGCTATTAAATATAAAATAAGATTAACACCAACCAAAAGAGCTTGATTTTCAGGATCCACATTTTCCAGAAATACCCTTCTATGCAATCTTTGTTGTTCTACTTGAGGATTCTTTGCCAATACTTTTCGCATATCAGCCACAATACTCTGTAATTAACAGTTAAATCTTAAAATTTTGGTCTAATAAAATATATAATATATAAAAAAGTTTTATAGTTTACATAACTTACATTAATCTTGTTGACATCTAAATGACTAATAGCTAAATGAGTTTTAATTCGCCAATGAGTCTTTTGAGTCATATTTCTCACAACATTCATTGTAAACTTATGGTTTGGAATGTGAATAGCTTCACGATCTTCACCTCTTATAATTGTAGGAGACCACCATCCAACATGCTGCAATTTCAAATTTTTTAAAAAACCATAAAAATATATAATTTTTTTTATCATTAATTAAAAAAAAAAAAAAAAAAAAAAAAAAACAAACCTCTACAGTTCCAGAAACTTCATAGCCTTCAATCTTTGCTTTAATCCACTCATTCACAACAAATGGCCTTGTTGCATGAATCATTGCACTTGAGAGAAAATTCGTGAATATCTAGATATATATAATATATAAAGATTAACTTAATTAAATATTTAAATATTTGATTAAAGATTTGAGAAATAGGAAAATATTTACACCTCACGTCCAGCAAGTGTCAATAAAACTGTCCCAAGGCCTCCTGCAGTAAGCCATTTTTGAGTAGAAAAACCGAGTAACTCCATGAAAAGTGATACAGCAGCAACCCATACAGCTGTGTATACAGCTTTTCCAGCAAATTGAAACCCCATCTGTGAAAAAACAATAATTAAATTTATAAATTACTAAAAAGATTATATATGTGTGTAGAAAGAGGAAGGAAATTGAAAATCAGAAAATGAGGAAATCGTACGTTTCTTGTATCAGTAGCATCATTTTTCTCCAGTAAAAAGTTTTGTGTTTGTTGAATTGCACTGCATAGATGATTTAAAGATAAAGAATTAGTTATATAAATAAATTATAGTCAAAACATATTTTTCATAACTCATTACTCACCTGGATAAACAGTAAGCAAGTGCAACAACAGTAGACAATGATTTTACAAAAGTTAAGAGGCGTTTTATAACAATTTGGCTAGCTTCTGATGGAAGAACAATTGGATCCAATGCACTGAAAGAAAGTTAGATGTTATTAGTCTGAAATTAGAGTCAAGAATTTCAAACCCAAATCATCCCCTAATTTATTATAAGTTTTAAACCTGCAAATAAGTATTGCCCCTGTCCATAGCATCAAAGGTTGAAGGTAAGAGGTCATGACAAAATTTGTGCTACTCTTTCCCCAACTCCCATCACTTTTCTGAAAAAAAAATATGAATACAATGTTAACAAAAAAAGAAAGAAAAAGGGGAAGAAAAAATGAGATGGAGATAAGAAAAAGACACAAACATGGAGAAAGATGTTTCTGCTTTGTCTCATTAGTGGCCCAAGACCCCATACAGCAAAAACAATAATACCCACTGCTGGAAGTAGCTTGAGTATAATAGGTTTACCTTGCAAAGCACTGAAAGAAGTTTTGATCAATGTTCATATTGATAATATCTGAATGTTCAAGAACATGTAGTTTTTGAAAAAAAGAGAGATTAAGATCTCACTTTGACAAGGCAAGAGCATTGTTCTTGATTGCAGAACCCCCAAAAGATTGGGTTGGATTCAGAACACAATTGCATTGTAGTAGATTGAATCTGTTAGGAGCAGTGGTTAATGGTTTCTGTAATCGAATAGAAAGGTTGATGCTCAAGGAATCGTGTTGCTGAAAGAAAGAGATATTAAAGGGTTATTTACTTATTTTTATGATTTATGTAAGTAAATTTTCACTTCTAGATTCTATTCATGATGAAAAGAACCATACTGAAGCAAGTGATGAGAGACTGGAGGGTAGTGTATGTAATTTGTTACTTCTAGTTATGCCCTGTGGAGTACACATGACATTTTGTGAAAGATGTTATTAGCTTTGAGAAGGGTTAATATGATTATTGGAAATAAAGGAGAATAGATTCATACCTGAAACTGCTTGTTGTAGTGCTGCTTCTTGCAAATTCCCCATTTGTGAGAAAAATTCAAAGAACCAGTCATAGCCATCATCTGATGAGGATGCAGTTACCAACATTCAGCATAAGATAAGAATGGAACTCGACATTCAACAACACTGCTTTGGCTTCCACCACGCCTTTAGAAAGAGACCTGAAAATTTAGGAATTAGGAGCAATGTCAATATGGAATGCATCAAAATGTGAAGTACAAAAATGAAGTTTACATTAGAAAAACAAACAAACAAAACCTTGTAAAGCATCAACGATTCACCATTTCAGACAACTAGATATTCAAACTGGCAATAATTCACCAATTTTCTCAGTCACGGATTATTCGCAGACTTAATAAGTAAGTATCAAATCGAAAACAGGACTAGGATCTCGATTAGACTCAAAGAAACCTCTCGAACCCTAAAGTACCAATTGTTTATATTTTTGGGATTACTTTTTTCTAGAAAGCAATCACAAATTGATGACGGTGGAAGAAATAATAACATTGAAATACGTTTGCTTAGTAATAGCTCGATAGCATCCATATACACATCGAATTATGTAAACAATAAATCGAAATTTAGGGAAACGCTGAGGTGTTATTGATTCATTGAGGGAAGAATTTGAGAGTAAAATCAGGAAAGCATTAACAGACTACATTAATAAGAGGAAAGTGATAACCTCTACAGCAAGAAATCGGAGCAATATTGGCTGGTTATCCAAAGAAGAGAGGAACGATGGTTGTTTTTCCGGAAGGACGTGCGCCTTTTTCCTTCGTCGTCAACTTTGAAGCTCCTTCGTCTTTTAGCCCTCCCTTTCTTCCAAAATTTATTTGCTGATTCATGTGTGAGTTGTGACAACTTCTTAGAACATCTTTATTTTAGTCAAAAATTAGGTTTTGTCCCAAAATAATTATCAAAACCGTAGGCCATTAAAATCGTCTACTATTTCGTTTAAATTGTCTATGGTTTCGAGTTATGTATTTAAGATTTTTTTTTCATTTTTGCAAAACACAATCGTAGACCATTTTATGGTCTACGGTATCCATTCAGTCGAATAATATATCCCAAACCGTATACCATAAATGGTCTACTGTTTCGGCCATGGTCTACGGTTTTGGTGTCTTTTTTTTCTTTTTGGTTATTTAACTACTATTTGGTAGAAGTTGACTAATAATTTATGAATTTTGACTACTATATCGTACCTAGTATATACTACAATGAATATCGTTTTTAGATAAAGGTTAGTGTTTTTGATCTTGTTTTCTCTCAAAAATTATAGTATAAGTTGTGAGTATTCCGTATTGCTTATCACTGATGGAAGATGAGAATTTGTTATTTCCCAACTATTATATGTATGGTCATCGGGATACATTGTGAGAATGTTTTGCTACGGTGTTGAATTTTACGAGAGCACCACATTCGTTGAATTTGTTCATTAGGTGAAAGGTATTCCCGATGAATCAAAACTCAGTTTGTCTTATCAACATCCTGAGCAACTGTATTATTGTGCTATTTGTAACATCCCAAAATCATGATAAAATTTTTCATTTTATAAAGCATTTTCACAAAAAAAAACACATGATCGTCAAGTATTGTTTTCAAGTAAAATCCATAGAATCAAAGTAACAAATTGTGTAACATTCGTAATTTGGTATGTTTCCCTCCATCCCTTAATGTAAAATCTTTACCTTTTTGGTCCCTAGCTAGTACGCGGGGAGTACTCTATGAGTACGCTTAGCGTACTAGCTCTTTTCTGTACGCGGGATTCATCCACGTACATGGGGCGTACGTAGAGTACGCATGGCGTACGTGGTGTAGGGGCAAACCCTAATTTTTAGGGTTTGCACCCTATTTAAGCAACTTATACCACCTTTGGACATTCTATTGATCTGCCTCCATCACTCTCTACCCTAAAAACGAAACCCTAAGTGCTTTTGGTGAGTTTTGAGCTTGAAAGTGAGATTTGACGGTGTTTCTAGTGAAGAAGAAGAAGAAGAAGAAGAAGAAAAAGAAAAAGAAAAGGAAGAAGAATAACACTTGGTGGTTGCTTGGGAGTAGCTTGGGCTTGTTGATCCAGGGTCATCTTCATCTTAACAGGTCATTTGAGGTAAAAAGCTCTCATCTTGATGATTCTATGTTCTAGATCCAACTTAGGGTGCTATTTATGCATTTTTGGGTCTTTTAAGTTAAAGTTGAGCTTATGATCTACTCCATAAGCCATAGATGTTAGATCTTAACTCCATTGAGGTCCCTTGTCCATAAAAATGTAAACTTTATGTAAGATGTAGGTCCATGCAAGTGTTAAGGTTCTTATTAAGCTTCTTTTTGAGTGTTGGGCCCCATTAAGTCATTAATGGGTGTAAAGTTGTCAACTTTACGTGTTAAGCCACCTTCTAGAATCAGATATGAGAGTTTGGCATGTTGTCTTAACCGAATAAGTGCATAATGGAATGGATTGGTAATTTGGGGAGTACATGGGGCGTACCTAGTTGGTACGTTGTGCGTACTGGCCCCGGAAGGAGTACGTTAAGCGTACGAGCTGAGTACGCCTGCGTACTCAGCAGATTGACTTTCAGTTTGACTTCCTCGGGTTTGGGCCATATTTTGGGCTTTAGGGGTTGGGCCTTATTGGGCCATTGGACTTCTGACTTTGGGCCATGGATAAACTATGGACTTTCTTGGGATTAAGTCCATGATGATTTTTGGGCCCAATTTGGAAGTTGGGCCTTATTGGGCCTTGTGATGCCATTTAGGAATTTGGGCCTTTTGAACAAATGGGTTGGGCCTTGGTTTTGGGCCAAGTAAAAAAAGGGTAAAATGATCTTTTACCCTGGATATCGGACAAGTAGCTTAGATTCTTGATTATGGGTCGACATCCAATTATTAATTGGATATTATTTGATGATGTTAGCGTAGGGATTTTCTGGACCAGCTGACTGATATTTATTTGAGAGATTCAGCAACTAGAGGTGAATTTCCTCACTGTGTTTAGTGGGTTGAAGGCACTAATGCCGACCCATGGGTTGTTATGTTTAGGATTCTAGTTGTCTGCGTGACTCTTGCATGTGTTATGTATTAATATGTTTACCGGGTGGGGCCCGATGACTATGCTATTTATCTTTGTGATTATTGTATGTGTTATATAATTATATGTTTATATGTTTATATGTTTATATGTATACCGGGTGGGGCCCGATGCCAGGCGGGGCCTGATGACTGATAGATATGTTCCGAACGAGGCCTGATGTTGGGCGGGGCCCATTATATGTTTGATATGCATGGTATGTGGTATTTGGGGGAACTCGCTAAGCTTTGTCCTTATGGTTTTCAGTTTATGTTTCGAATACTTCTAGTTCGAATGGGAAGAGCTTGGGATGATTGCAGTGCATACACCACATCATTTCACATTTTATATTACTCTGATGTATTTGGATGTTATTGATACACTTTGATTCACCTTGGTTTCTATGATGTTGTTTTGGATAATGGTTTTATTAATTAAAAATCGAAATTTTTAGTCTTAATTTTTGGGACGTTACAAGTTGGTATTAGAGCCTTAGTTTAAGGGATTCAAGCATACTCTCGGGTGTGTCTGAACTCAAACTAAGGGTTTGGTGGATTTTTCAAAAAAAATGTTTAGCGGGTCGAAGGCACCAATGTCGGCCTATGGTTTGTTATTCTTAGGATGCTAGTTGTCTGCGTGACTCTTGTATGTGTTATGTGTTTATATGTTTATCGGGTGGGGCCCAATGACTATCATGTATGTTATTTATCTTTGTGATTATTACATGTGTTATATGATTATATGTTTATATGTTTATATGTATACCAGGCAGGGCCTGATGATTGACAGATATGTTCCGAGTGAGGCCCGATACCGGGCGGGACCCGATGACGGGCGGGGCCCACTATATGTTTGATATGTATGGTATGTGGTATTTTGGGGAGCTCGCTAAGCTTTGTGTAACATCCATAAAATTTTCATAAAAAATTAAACTTTTTTCAAACCAACCAAAAATCATAATTGTTTACATTGTAGTTTTCAAAACAAGTTTAACATCAAATTTATAAGATCAAGCCTCTGAAATAGCCTTAGCTCACAAGGACCAACCAAGAGAGGCTAAAATGGCCATAAACAACCCAAAAGAAGATCTAACCAAAGAGATGACATGATCAAAGCTTTTTACCTTCATTAGATTGCAAAAGACGAGAAACTTCTGGATCTACAAGCTCCTCTCCACGAAATGATTCTTCAACCTTCTTCTCCTCTTACACAAGCCACCATAAACCCTCTTCTAAGCTCCATAACTCACTCAAGGCACTTTAGGGTTTCAATGAATACTAAAGGGGATGGAGGCTGACTTAAAATGCCCAAAGGAAGGTTAAAATGATGCTTATATAGGGGTAAAACCCCAAAATTAGGGTTTGGTGCTGAAGGGAGTAAGCCCCGCGTTCCCCTTAGTACGCCTAGCGAACTCAAGGCACAATCGCGATCTGGACAGGCACTACGCCCCGCGTACTTGGTGAGTATGCCATGTGTACTCGACCAAGCTCCAAAACACAAATGAACACTCAGATCACTTAGAATATACACCCACATCCAAAGACGGCCAAATCGTATCTTCTCCAAGTCCCTAAGCCTTATGATAACTGATGATCGGGCCACGACCCCGAATAATGAAGCGATTCGAAACTGAGCGTTACAAAATCACAATAAGCTAGATAACTGAAACCAGAATCTTTCATTTACTTGTGTGCTAACAATGATACTGGCTTGAATCTGCATTACGTTCGATTGTAAATTAATCGATTAATCTCCCATGAGCCCTAAATGGTCTGTGTTTTTTTTTGGGCGATGGAGGAAGTGATAGTCGAAAGCAAAAAAGACAACTAGAGTTGTTGTAGGAAAATCCCACATTGATTTGGTAGATAGAAGGAGAAAGGCCGTAAGGGAAGAGACAAACAAGTCAACAAATCATTCTCTCTCTCTCTCTCCCTCTCTCTTTTTCTCTCTCTCGCCATTAAAGCACTATGATGAAGGAAGGAAAGAAGAAATGGGTTTGCAAGGTTTTCCTAAATCTCGATTTTCCAGAAGTCGCCCCAGAAAACCTTGATGATGTCTATGGGATGCAGAGGAATCGGTGATAAGCTGGTGAACCGGTGATGGCTGAATTACAACTGAGAGGTTAGAACGGGAGGGTGGAGGAGATGTTACAGATCTCAATTTATCGGAAAAGCCCCCCACCTTCAAGAACGAAACTGTTGTTTTTTTAAGAGATCAAACACAAACATCCCACATTTAAATCTCGATTTGACTTATTTTTTGAAGTGTGGGGATGGATGTCATCGCAGAGAGAGAGAGAGAGAGAGAGAGAGAGAGAGAGAGAGAGAGAGAGAGAGAGAGAGAGAGAGAGAGAGAGATTTTATTTTTTATTTTTTTAATTATTTAAATACCAAAAAAAATAAATAAAATAGAAAAAAGAAATGAAAAGGGTAAAATCGACTTTTCAAGTGTATCAGGGACCAATAACCCAGAAAAACCTTGATTTGGACCTTCCATGCAAGTCGGAAACTTTTTGGACCCTATCCAAAGTTTTTTGAATACCATAGGGACCAATCTTGTAGTTTTGTCTTTTTTTTTGTTCATATTTCATATGAACTTTGAAGGTTAGTTTTAGTGTCAATATACTATGAATTTTGAATGCTTGGACATGGAAGAAAGTAATTTTTTACAAGTAGATGATCCATTTTGTTTGTATGATGTAGGAGAATTTGTTGGAAACATGGAGCTAGGCTCGAGTCTGATTATAATATATTCTCTACAGGTGAAATCGAAGGTCATGGACTGAGTTTTGTTTTGTACTTCAAGATTCTTGATGATAAGTAGTTGAAGGAACTTTTATCCCAATTTCAAGGAAATTTAAGGCTAATACTATTTATTCTAATACGGTCCTTAAAAAAAATACTATATGACTTGCAGACGAGGAGCTTGATTGATGGAGGGGCAATGTGACAAAGGTCTTAGTCGAATGATTTTGACAACAAAAAAAGTTGTGATGTTTCTGTTTGGCATAAAAGATCGGGACACACTTCTCGGGACACACTTCTGAAGCAAGTTACATCACGTAGATTTTTTTTAGTTAATTTTACATTTGAATTAAAGAATAAAGTTTGTGACTCATGTGTAAAAGAAATACATACTCGTTTATCTTTTTCCGATAGCTCTATTAAATCTAGTGAGTGCTTTGATCTTTTACATTATGACATATGGGGAAGCTATCGTACACCATCTTTATCTGGAGCACGTTACTTTCTCACAATTATGAACGACTTTAGTAGAGGAGTATGGGTATTTCTTATTAAACACAAATATGAAGCAAGCAATTGTCTAATGGATTTTTACAATATGGCCAAAACATTGATGGAAAGAACATAAATAAAATAAAGAGTGACAATGGAGATGAGTTCACATCCGTCTCAATGATTGATTTTTATGCTCAACAAATGACCATGCTTGAAAGCTCATGCCCTCATACTCCACAACAAAATGGGGGATGTAGAAAGAAAACGTAGGCATTTGCTTAAACAACAAGAACGATAGGAATTTGAGGCAAACTTCCCAACCAAGTTATGAGGATAATGCATCATGACGGCTGCCTACATAATAAATAGATTACCTTTCAAGGTAATAGGTTTTAAAACGCCTTATGAAATCTTATTCGGAAAAGTACCCGACTATGAGCATATGAGGGTATTTGGTTGTCTCATATATGTGAGAAACACGGAAACGAAGGGAGATACGTTCGAAGTAAGGGAGATACGTTCGGAGTAAGGGGACCAGGTGTTTAGGTGTTTTTGTTGGATACCCGCAAGGCCAAAAAGGTTACAAAGTATTCGACATTGACAACAACAAGATTATCACTTCAAGAGATGTTAGATTTGTTGAATATGTCTTACTTTTCACAACAAAGACCAAGAAGAATAAAGACGAGGATGATAATTCTTTAACTAAACATATTATGACGACATAGTTGCAAACGATATTCAAAAGAAAGAACATAAAGAAAAATTAGAAAGGACATTGTTATTTATTGCATTTAACAAAGTAATGAAAGTATGATGCTTTAATAATATATTTTTTTGAAAATACATTGCTATTCTTGGTGATAATAATTTCTAACATTTTTATAAATTTCTTATGATTATTATATATTTTTAGTATATTGGTAATTTAATAGATTGTGTTCATAATTGCAAAAGAGTTTGATTTGTTGCTTCCATTCTTTATTACATTGTGTAAATCCTTCGGTATTGATTTACTCCTTCATATTCAGTTGGAGGTTAGGAAGATGAACTTGCTTACTATAATAAACTCTTGGAAGATGAAATTTTCAACAATTTTGCTTGGAATGAGGTATATTTTTGGCATATGATTGAAACCGAAAAGGGTACTAGAGCTTCCGAGGTTAGCTACACTATGAATAATACAAAGAGAGAAAGCCCATGGATATATGTTCATGTTCTCTTTAAATCCAACATGCAACCATTTATAATAAATCCCAAAGTCTCAACGGTTTCCCTAAAAGTGAAATGTGTGTTATTCGTTCTCATTTCCATTAACTCTTCCATCATTTATTATTATTAGGCATTGGCAAGTGTTGCCAAGTTGTTTAATTAGATGGAAAACAAGTTCTATGCAAAATTTGTTGATATGATAGCCATAACAAGACTATATGTAAAAAAGGACAACCAAAACCTAAACTAAAAGTGAAAAAGAGACAAAAGATAAGTACATTTCACTTTCCTTAGCATTAAATTAGAATACAACTAACATAATTATAGGTTGAAAAGGTTGAAAGAATGTTGAGGAGAATACTAAAGAGTATGTTGAATGGCATGTGGAGTTTGAAACATATTTTGAACACTTGTTTAATTTGTGTCAATTTTGATGGTTGTTATGTGTCACTTTTGTTAATCAATGTTGCAGTTTTTCTGTTTCAATATTATCAGTTTGTATGTAAAATCTCAAACACAATCAACGACATAAATGCAGAATTAGAGATAAGAATTATCAAGGAATGATCAAATCAAGAACACAATATGAAGATACAAAACATTCAAGATTTCATTGAGAAAGAATTGAAAAAATAGCCTTCTCATTAAATCTTTAGTTATGTTATTTTTAGCAAATGGATTCATACAAATTACAAACTAAAGAATCAAAAAAATAAAAACAAAATACATGGTTATATGTAATTAAAAAAAAAAAAAAACTAATTGTTGAGAGCTCTCAACGGTGACCGAAGATCATGACCACTTTCCACCATAGTCCTCCTTTTAGGAGACTGAAACACATTTGTGTTTTCTTTCACAGGGTCAAAACGGTCTTTTTCATCATCAAAACTCATCACTATACTTCTCAAAGTTCCCATCATTTGTCCATCTTCTCTTGATAACTTATTAATCCTTTCAGAAACACCTCCAATAATCTCCATCAACTTTTCCTTCTCTAAAAATATCTTCTCTAAATCTTTTTCCATTTCCACAATCATCAAATCCCTTAATTCCACTTCAATCTCCTTCATCACCACGCTTGTTCTTATCTTCTCCCAAGCTTCATGAAAAAGATTCACCTCACTTTGCATTTTTGATAATTGAGAAGAAAAACAAACACTCGAATCATTAAATTCTTCCTCCAAAGATTCCATAATCTTTTGAAGATTCTTAATCCTCTCATCTTTCTCTTCTACGATCTTATCAAGACTTTGCTTTTCTTTACTAAATCTCAAAAGGGTATGCATTTCCATTTTTTTCTTTAATTCTTCAAGTTGTTGTTCAAGATCATTGATTCTCTTACCCTTTTCTTCATTTTCTTCTTTTAGGTTTACTTCAATGGCGACTTGAGATAATAAAGAAGCTTCCACTTCACGTCTCATTTGATGGTTGACTTCTAAGTTGACTTTTAGATTTTCAGCAATCGATTTCCATATTTGGAGCTCAAATTCAACTTCATTTACTTCACAACATTTCTCAGCTACTTCTTCATTTGCCATATCTAACAAATCACATACTTTCTTCATCTCTTTTTTCAATGACTCCATTTCTGCATCTTGTTCTTTCATACTTTCTTGAAATTTAACAAGATCATGAATCTTTAATTTGGCCTCCAAAAGGGTTGACTTTAATGTCACTATCATGACTTCAGACTCTTCTTTCTCCATTGTTGACTTTAACATTAAAGAGTTGTAACCATCTAACTCTTTCGTAATCTTCTTCAAATGTGAATCTTTCTTTTCTATCTCTTTTCTGCAAGAATTCAAGTCTGAAACAACTTTTTCCATTTGAGATCTCCATTCAGCTTCTTTGACTTCAATTTGACCAGAACATTTACTATGAATCTGTTCCAAAGTCTTAAGCTTTTTTTGAAGCTTTGCAATAGAAGATGAGTTATTCGCTTCTTGAATCTGAATCTTTCTTTGATTCTTTTCATGAGCAAGATCTTGATTGGATGCCTCTAATCGTCTTTTTAGATCTTCAGAAAGCGTGATTTGAGAATCTAACTTTGTTTCCAATGTGGATATTTCATCAAAAAAAGAACTTTTTTCCATATCCCATTCTTTTTCTTTGGTGCGAAGTTTATCTCTAAGTTTTTCATGGGCTTCTTCTAAGTGCTTGAATTGTTCATTCTTCCATTTAATCTGTTCTTCAAGCTTCACTTTTTCCTCTTCCAGCTTTTCAAACATATCTCCTCTTTCTCTCATTTGTTTGGAGGCTTTAGCCACTTTGCTTTCACTTGCACATTTCTTCTGTGAAACAGACACAATCCCTTCTTTCAGAACCTCAATCTTGTCCATAAAATCACGGTTTTTTTGCTCTAGATCTGAGATTTTCATATTGGCTTCATCTAATGAAGAAAGAAGGTTGATTTTCTCCTCTTCGGTTTCCTGAAGTTTTGAATTGAAATCAATACGAAGCTTATCATTGGTAGAAGTGAAACTCTTGATGATATTCTCTTTATCTTTAAGTTTGGATTGGAGTTCTTTGAGTGATTGATTTGCAGCATGGATTTCATCTGTTTTTGCTTCTACTTCCTGTGATTGTTGCTCGAGTTTCAGATTGAGTTCTTGGATTCTTTTGATTTGATCATCATGTGATCTCTTCAAGCTGTTACACAGATTGGATTTCACATGATATTCTGACCTGAGCTTTTCAATTTCAGCTTTTGCCTTATCCAACTCTTCATAAACTTTTTCAGTCATGTTCACTGTTTTGTATATAACCTGTGACAATCACAGGAGAAAATGGAAAATCAACATTGACCAAAAGTCATTATCGTAAAATTAGCAATATGAAGCTTATTTGCCATGAACAACTAAACTATCAGTCATTGAAAACCTAAGATACTAAATTCATCACAATTTCAAAGAATTAGTAGAATCTCAGAGATACTATTTGATTTCCAAATTCAATCCTACCTCTTTCTGGATATAAAACAGGAATAAAAGAACTAACTACTATGTTTATGAACAAACGAACTAGCATTTTACAAGTGAAGAGGTCCCAAATTCCTGGATATAACGATTTGGGCAAGATCGGTTTTGTTTACATCACAAAATAATGAATATATTAAAATCAAACATCATATTTGGATACCTAGACATGTTTAAACTAAAATATATATACAACCCTGTGTCAAATTTCAAATTGGAATGCTAAAGGTTCGAATTTAGAAATATTTCACCCCTCACCCGAATTCAATCGATTACAGCAACCACATAAAGAATACGAACAAGTTAATGGCTTAGGGTTTTGATAATTTGTTTGTGGAATGAGAGAGAAGGAGAAACAAAAGTGTACCTGGTGTTCGGAGTCAAGATTAACCCATTAACAACACAGCGACAATCGAGAGATTGTTGGATGTGATCGGTTTATTGAAGAGTGTTAGGAGTTCTACGAGTGGAAAAAAAATGGGGGAGGAAATCTTGTTGCAGGTAGCCGTTGTAACTGAACTCTGAACCATACCTTATTTTAAATTGCTCCCAACTAAGTTACCGTTTACCTTCCGTACGGCGTCGTTTATTAGTTTTATTTCTTATCTCCACCTTTTGGTATTGCCCCATGAAAAAAAAAGTAAACTCATCATTGGGTTTCTTAGTTATTTAAATAATATATATATTATGTAATAAATATATAAGTAGTTTTGTTTAATATATAACCGATAAACCGAAAATCATTAAAAGAAATCTGATATTGGACCAATGATCTTGTCTTCATTTCACTTTTTTTTCTTTTTTTTTTAATATTAGAAAAACTAGGGATAAAATAATCAAATTTGTCTAACTAGCAAAAAACCTCCGAACTACGTTGCCGGTTTGAAACGGTTTAATGTGTCGGGAAACCATAACATGCAAGTTTTAAGATCAATGATTTTTTTTTTTGCTAATTATTGGTTGTTTTGTAAAATGTTGGGGGCAAAACAAGCAAAGAAATGTGAGCAAAAGTAGATAAAAGTGGATGACTAAGCAAATTGAGATTAAAAAAAAAAAAGACGGACGAGTCAGCCACGTAGTCGGAAGTTGACACATGTTGGGGAAAAAAGGAAATTTTTTTTATTTTAGGAACTAAAACTGTTAAAACAGACAAAGGAATATGACAAAAATCTAAAACATAAAAACTTTACTATTCTTAAGGCCATTAGGAACTAATAATAAATATAATATTTATCTTGACATGAATTTATACACAACTTTCATTCCATAAGACTCGTACACGTTTTAAAATTCTTTGGCTCACAAAAATATTTGATGAAATCTGACATTTTGTTACAACCTAAAAAAGAATTATTTGCTTCTAAAATGTAGAGCTCAACTCTTTTTGGAAAAAAAAAATCTCGATATTTGGTAGACTAAATCCGTGGGATACGGATTTGTTGTCATATATATACAAAAATGGACATCAAAAATTCCCGCATCAAAAATAAAATAAAATTGACAGAGAATCAAATATAATCTCACATTACATGTTAATATATATATTTTTATTACCAAATCAACAATACTTAAAATGTTTGTTTAAGAAGAGATAAACCCTTATATTAAAATGGGATATGATATGGGGAGGTAGATGCTGACAGTAATGTCTCAAAAAGAATATAGAGCGATTGTGTTGCAAATGATATTCACCATGTGCAAATAATAACTTGTAAATGAGAGAAACAAGGTGAAAGTAATCAGAATGAGTGAGCAGTAAGACATAGAAACGGGTAAATAATAATAATAATACAACCATACACATCTTTCCAAGCACTTGGGGAAACAAAGGAACTAAGTCAATGTGAGCAGTAAAACAAAATATGAATAAATCAAACGCATCCAAACACCTACAAAAGGAGTAAGTCAATGTCAGTAGTAAACCAAAACATGAATAAATCAATGTACATATGAGCAATAAGCATGTATGAACAATAAGGATGATAAAACAAACAATACAATGTGATAATGCTACCTATCTATCTTGATGTTTAGCCTCATTACATTCCTATCTTTCTATCTAAGGTCATGTCTTAGGAAAGAACAAAATCCTACATGTCAATCCTCATGCCATCTTCTCAATTCTTTTTAGGATGTCATCTCCTCCTTTTACCTTCCATACCGTTGATGATGGTAATTTTCTTTGGACATGTCTATACCACCTCAATCTTCTGTCCCTCCCTTCAGTGTATGATGATTGTGCCACTTCCAAGGAGTGTCATAAGAATGTGAAGCTATAAGAGGTTTTATTTATATAATAATTGTAAAGATGCTCGTTTTAACTTGTAAAAATAACATTCAACTTGATGTGATACTAAAGTGTAGGAAGACTAAGTTTGAATAAATATAAAAATATTCCGTTATAATGGTGGGTCTTTCAAAATGAGAAAAAAAAAATAGAAACCGACAAATATGGCAATTTTTCTTAAGTTTATCAAAATTTAGCAAAAAGCTAATATTTTCCATGAATAACCATGCATTTCATATCGCATGTACTCTGCAAAATGCTTATAGGTATTGTGAAATGCCAAAATGACATTGTTTTGGCATTTCGCAACGCCTATAAACATTTTGTATGGTTCTTTACTAAATGCAAAATGCAAAATGTTTATCCCGTGTGAGATGTTAGTATCTTTAAAAATACAAATAAACATAATAGAAAAAAACCTTATATATGTGAATATAAACTATTACATAAGAAAAACCGACTTGAATAAGCCTATGTTCCTCTTTAGTCTATACGAGCTCATAGTGTTCCTTAGTTTTGCAAAATGTCAGAGAAAATTTGAGTTTTCATAGAAAAATCCACTTAAATATAGGGACCACATCCGACCCATGACAACCCATTTTACAGTGGGCAGGCATATTTCGCAATGCACCCTCAATATATTTATGGACATTGCGAAATGCCAAAAACAATGTAAATTTAGGCCAATTTCAAAAGGTGTCCTATGAAATACATGGTTAAAATGCCAAAAACAATGTGTAAATTTAGGCCAATTTCAAAAGGCGTCTTATGAAATACATGGTTAAAATGTCAAAAACAATGTGTCCTATGAAATACATGGTTATCGGTAGAAATTTGTTAATTTTGGCTAGTTTTTTAAATAATAAAAAACAAAAAAGGTAGCTATTGTATATATATAAACCCCTTAAATTAGGAAGACAAATGTATCAATATAACATAAAAGTTTGTAGGGTTTAATAAAAAGAGAAGTTTATTGTTTTCGAGATGTCTTCATGTTCACACCCATCCCTTTTTATAGGACGGGTGTAAAATGTAAATTACTCAAATTAAATATCTAATCAATCTCGTGATTTAGGGTTTAGGGTTTATAGAAATTATGTATACCAATGAACTTAACTACTTAAAATTTCTCAATAACATGGTATGTTTATAAAATATCATAAATATGATTTATTATTTTATTTAAGAGATTATACATGTGGCATAAAAAAAATCCATTTTCCCAACCTCCATATATTTGTAGGTGGTGCAAAGATTTTGGCGCTAAATAACCTCTCAACATTTTATTATCATTTCTATTTTGAGCGCCAAATTCTCTTCATAACATTCCCCATCACCCTCAATGCTTCCTAATTTGCCTCAAAAAAAACAATTTTTGTTGTTGTTAGTGTTGCCTAATTATCCCATTTACCCTTTTGCTCTTTGTCTGGTTTGCTACACAATTTTCTCTCCAACTTCCCTTCCTCTTCTTCATTCTCTCTCCCCTCTGTGTGGATTTTCCGGCGTTAAACTGGAGGGGGAGAGAAAACACGACGGAGTAAAACAAGAGGAAGGAAAGCAGATCTGACGGACGTCATTGATTGGAGAAGATGTTACAGAAAGCAACAGGCGGCGGGCATTCGTGGTGGTGGGCTAGTCACATTCGAACTAAGCAGTCCAAATGGCTCGAACTAAATCTCCAAGGTGATTCATCACTCCGATCGTCGATCGATTGATTGATTAATTATCCAAATTTGGAAATATCATCGGAAATGTAACAAGTTTTTGTATGATTGTTTGCAGATATGGATATGAAGGTGGATCACGTTCTGAATTTGATTCAAAACGATGGCGATTCATTCGCTAGAAGGGCGGAGATGTATTATAGACACCGGCCGGATGTTATAAGCTTCATCGAGGAAACTCTTCGTGCTTATCGAGCATTAGCTGAACGATATGATAAATTATCGGGCGATTTGCAGAAAGCAAACACCACCATTGCTTCAATTTGTCCGGAAAAAGTCGATTTAAGCCTCGATGAAGACGACGATGATTTCAACTACGATTCTCCGAAAACACCTAAACTCAATCGTCAAAATCGAATCAAAATCCCTAAATCCCCAAAACCTGTTAACAAAGACGTGAATCGTGTTCTCAACAATGCATCAAAGATGATCGAAGCAACAAAGACGAGCGAAGAAAAGGAAAATCAAAGTCCTCCGAAATCTGGATTGACGAAAGACGATGCTCTCGAAGAGATTGATAATCTTCAAAAGCAAATCCTCGAGATGGAAATGATGAAGGATTCCATGAAGAATTATTACGAGAACAGCCTTGCTGAGTACTGGGATGCGGAAACCCAAATAATCGAAAATCAACAGAGGATTTGCAGATTAGAAGATGAATATGAAATATGTAAGAAAATCGAAGAAGACGATAAAGGTACTTTAATGGCGGAAGAAGCTTTGAAGTCATGCCAAGAGACCTTAGCTATGTTACAAGATCATCAAAAGAAATTGCGCTACGATGTTAAATTAGAGCACAAGAGATTCGATCAAGCTAAACAAAAACTCAAATCAATCAAGCAGAAATATAATTCGGAATCAGATCTAGAACAAGAACAAGAACACGAACAAGAAATCAGAAACGTCTCAAATCAAAGCTTGGAAGGCGTATCGAAGAATCCAGAAAAAATTACAGAATTGGCAGATACGATTGATACGCTTGTGAACATGGTGATTACTTTAGAATCCTCGATTTCATCCCAAACTGTTCTTGCAGACATGTTAAGAAAAGAAGCAGATGATCTTCAATCACAAATTCGAAAAATGGAAGACGATATGAAAACACAAGCTCAAAAATTTGAAGACGATCTTCAAACGCAAACTCAAAAAATGGAAGACGAGCTTCAAACACAGATTCAAAAAATGGAAGACGAATTTCAAACACAGATTCAAAAAATGGAAGATGATCTACAAACACGAATTCAAAAAATAGAAGACGAACTACCAAAAGAAAGTGATCATACTTGTGTATGCAACGAACCAGTTGTTGAATCAAAATCAGAAGAAAAGAACATTGACATTAGTTGGCAATCGATGTTGTTGAATGGGATTGAAGACAAAGATAAGATCATTCTAGAAGAGTACATCACGATCTTGAGACACTACAAGGATACTAAGAAGAAATTGAGTGAAGAACAGAAAATAAACCAAGGATTAAAACAGAAGTTGAGACTTGTTCAAGAAAACATACCTCATGAAGATGAGAGTGAGACCACCATTGATGAAGAAGCTCAAGCTTTTTCTGCCATGGATATGATTCTTGATGAGAATGTTAACTTCTGGTTGAAATTCAGCACTGCTTTCCATCAGGTACACAAATTCAAAACCCAGATTGAAGATCTAAATGATGAGATTAAAAAGGCGAAATCAAGGTCAGATATTAAGTTGATATATAAAAATCTTAAAGATATAAAGAGTAAACTTACAATATGGTTGGAGGAAAGTATTATGCTAAAAGATGAATTAAGGATGAGATTCACGTATTTATCGAATATCGAGGAGGGAATTAAGTTCAGTAGCCATGAAGATGCTGCAAAGTTCCAAGGTGAAATTATGAAAAAGAAACAAGAACACAATGAAATTAGGAAAGAACTTGAAGCAAGTTTAGATCATGTGGTTGCTATAAAACTTGAGTTGGAGAAGACTTTGGAAAGGGTAGAAAAGGAATTTGGGCTTTTGAAGAATCCGAATCAACAACAGAAGGGGAAATTATCTTCCAGCAAGTCGATAATACCCTTGAAGTCATTCCTTTTTGGGGTTAAGTCAAAGACGCAAAAGTCTTCCTTTTTTTCTTGTATGAGCAGCCCTAAGAAATCAAGATCAAAGAAAGGTGGATGTATGTCCATATAAATATATAAAAACCATTGTACAAAAATGTATCTGAGTTTAAAAAAATGGAACATATATACAAAGAAAAAAAAAGTGACATCATTTGTGAATTGTGATTCTAATAGCTTTTTAAATATCATAAACATGGGAATGGGAATGGGAAGATCACTTCTTTGATGGTGTAAATGACACTTCTGACACCACAATAGCTCCCCTGCTTTTTGCCATGTATAGCCCAACATGGTGCATTAGTTCCTGTTAGTGAGATTTAAAGTTAAGTGGCAAAATGGTAAATAATGAGTTTCTCTCCAAAATAGGAGAGATGACAGACTCCAACATATACAAAGACAAAGTGGACTTGGTAGGAGCTTTGATTATTTATGGGACCCACTAATTTTGTTTTTATTATTTTATTGTTTACAATTGGTTGAAAACCAACGGGGTCCACCACAATAGGAGATTTTTCTTAATGAGAACAGATGTGACTGTGTCTAGCTGATGTGGGACACTGACACAATGAAGACACGGGTACCTGAGGGTGAGCAAGAGCACCAGGGATGTCTTTGGCAACATGTAGTGGAAGATCAAAAGTTGCACATCCACCAGAATACACGATCACATCCTTTAGAGGCTTAAGATAACCACGGTTTCTTGCAGAGAGCGTAGAACAAACAAAATCCAATACACATACATCTGTGCATATCCCTACAACCACAATCTGAAAAAAAAAAGTGGATATAAATTACTCTTTATTTGATTGCACTATATACAAACACAATGCTTACAACTTCAATTTGGTGTGTTTTCACCCAATCTACAAACACATTTGATCCATCATTCTCAAAAGAACCAAGAAATCCATCAATGCAGTCTTTTCGTCTAAGTGTCACATTCGACTCATTTTCCAACCATTGTAAGTCTACAAAAGGTCAAAATTAGAACAGAAAAAAGTAGTTTTGGATGAAGAAAAGTCAAATTTACCAGGAACCAAATTTGATTCATCTGTCCCGATTATACAGTGAGGAGGATATGGGGGTTCAAGGACATCTGGATGATGAGAATCAAGGAAAGCAAACACAGGCCATTTCTTTTCACAAAACACTTTCGCAAGTTGTATTGATTCATCAACCATTCCAGATATTTGCTTATCAGGTACTCTTGGAGCCTGAAACAAGATCATGATACGCATTAGAAAACTAGCATAATTTAGCATCGCATTCATCGATTAAACAGTTAAACTGAGTGTAATGTGTTCGATTGAAAAGCAGATAAGATCAATTTTAGGTTAAAAGTCGAAACCACTTCCATGACCTATAAAAAATTTAGTTCAGAGCTAGATAGGAACTCTGCTTGCTATTCATTAATGGTAGTACAACATATGAATTTGAAGGAGATGAGAGAAGATTGGAGGATTATAACGTGTTACTGCACATATGCGATCGATTGCACAATTGAGAGAGAGATTAGAGATGAAATTGCGAAAATTTAAATGAGAGGGAAAGTTTTACCAGATTTCCAGCGCCAACGGTACAGAAGCCGTTAACGATATCGACGAGGACAAGACCGGTACGGAGGTCACCGGAAAACACCACCGACTCCTCATTCACGGGTAGCTCGTTCTTCACCAGATCTATTGCCTTTCCGGACGCCATTTTCGCCGATCAGAGATCGATTTTCAACTCAACGCATTCAACGCAATATATATATAGTATACACACCAATTCAATTGGACCAAATCTGTGTTGGATTTTTTAATTAATTAAATAATATATCTCACCTTTTTTAGATTGTTTTTTACGGGATTTATTTTATAATTGGCACCCCTAAGGATTTGAAAAATATTTTGAATGGTCCTTTTTTGCTATTTTTATAAATTATCGACATGAAAATGGCTATATGCCTATATCCGAGTGGTCAATGTGTGTTTGTTAAGTCAATGAAGGAGGTGGTGGAGGTTGAGGTTTGAATCCAATATATTTTGGGTTAGTTTTCTTATTTACCAAACCAAAACATAATATATCAGATTTCTTATTTACCAAACCAAAACATAATATATCAGATAATGTCAATTGATCATCTCATATAAATATCATGTCAGTAAATATGTCAACTCATCAGTTTGTAACCTGGAAATTGACTACATAAGATGCTAAATGGTCACCTTTACAAAAAAATGGAACCAAGTGATGGTTTTTTTTACCAAAAAATAATGTTGTGCTGAAAAAGAAAATAAGTTATATTGTAGTGGCTTTTTTTTTGTAAGGTGTCGTTTTATATAGTTAAAGGGAAAGATGTTTGTCATTCATATACTAGATTTTACCAATGGTCTCTATTAATCCAACTTGGAAAATAGAAAAATAAACATGTCTCCAACCCAAAAAAAAGTTTAATCTCAAAGGAACAACAAAGAGATGTGAATATAGTTTTTAGGGAAGAATTCTTTTATATAAAGTTATCTACCTCATTTTATTTTGTAAGAAGTGCAATATAAGATCAGACGTTTACTTTTGTTCTATGTTTGTCTCGTATGGATGAAAGTACATATCTAACTCTTTCATTTTCCTTTATATTGACAAAAAAAAAAATCAAATTCAATATGGTAATAAAAAAAAACAATTATATATCAACCACGTTGATAATGGAATCTAGTGTAAACATATAATTAACCATACTAAACAATGGACTTGAGTGGACCTCAATAGTGTTGAGTCGGGTCACAATATGAAAATGGGACAAAAAGAATAATTTTTTTATATATAAAGTCTTCCCCATCATTTTCTTGTCTAAGTTAGTGGTGTGGGATAAAACTTTTACTTTTGTTATTTGTTTGTCCCACAAGGATAAAAGTACAAAATTACTTCAATCTATCACAAGAAAAGCAAAGTATTCACAGAAAATTAACATAATTTTTATAAAGTTTCCTATGACAAATACATTGTTTTATATCATTGACTGAAAATCCTTTTGTTCAAGAAGCATACAAGAATATAAGAGATTCGTTATTACGATCGAAACATTGTCATATAGTGATCTCTTATTCCCTTGTACTTAACATAAATATCTTCATCGATCATGACAAGAGGGAGACAAAACATATTATTATCTGCTAAATAAATAAATTGATCATTGAACTTTCATTATTTAGATTAGTAGAATCAACCAACATAAGGATAATAGAATAAAAAAGTAACATTTTGTTGGGAAAAAAAAGTTATTCATCTTTGCAACCACCAATAATGTTTTATATTTAGCAATTTGATTAGAACTTGATAAAAAGCTATATAAATCCGAATATGAGAACATAATCTTTTATACGAAATGACTTTTTCCACTAAAAGCAGATCGAGTCAACAATTAATAAGTAAAGTTAGAAAAACATTATTGTATTCTTGTAATGAGTGACAGCTACTGTGTCTTAGTATAGGGTTATAAGAGCAATTTCTAAAAATAACAGGGACTCAAATGACATCTACAGCTTATTACGAGGACCACAACTTCATAGAATCAAGGTAGGCCCCAATGCTTTCCCATTTCAAGAGATTCTCCCAACCGACCAGCTTATTACTAGTTACTTCTCTTTTGTCATGATCCTAGAACATATTTCTGAATGACTGAATGTTGCAATAATCAAGTAACTATCTTATTATTATTATTATTATTATTATTATTATTACTATTACGAGAAAATTCGGACAATAACCAAAAAAGTAGGTTGGTTTAAGAAAATAACCAATGAAAAACATATTTTGTAAAATGACCAAAGGATCCGCAGAGCACCCTCTACGGATCCATTAGATGCTCTACGGATCCGCTACAGCTCTGCGGAATTGCTGTTTTTTGATTTTTTAATTTTTTTTTCGTTCATTTTCGTTTATTAATATTAATTTTTTTAAACACACTAATACCTTATGTGATTATGTAAATAATTTGACAAAAAAATGTTAAAAATAATGAACTTATGTTTTATATTAATCCACATAACTGTTTGAGAATCTAAAGAACTGTTATCAGCGGATCAGTGTACACCTCTGCGGATCAGTGTACACCTATACGGATCAGTGTATAAATTGTCATACCGGTTAAATATTGTATCAACTTACCCCAGTATTGAAAAATATAGAAATGACCTCCAATGCATCAACTTCTACGAATGCAACATCGTCGTCCGATACTCCACGTCCATGGACGACAATAGAGGTGATGGTTATAAGACGATGTTGGTTGAACATTTTTGAAGGTGAAACAACAATAGTTACCCCTGATTACCTTGGAGGTGATGAATGGACCCGCATAACAAGTATGTTCAACCTCTCGTTTGGACAAGGAGAATATCGGGTACAAGTAAATATTCTTAGTAAGTGGATGGAGTTAAAGAACGAAATCACATGGTTCAATCGATGGTATCATCATCTTAAAAATTGTAGTAATTATTATTACTCAAACGAGGAAGCTCTTGTAGAAATGATTTTAGATCATTACATTTTCGAGCATGAGGGAAAAGACTTCGAGTATGTGGACGTTTGGAATCTAGTTAAGAACCACCAGTATTTCATGTAGAATGGTTTTTTATGTGAAATGTTTTATGTAATATGTTTGCTACTGATGTATGTTTTCCATGTATTTGTACTGTTTTATATTTTATGTTCTATGGAATAAAGTAGAAGTTAACTCAACTAGTTTCGTAAATAACATAATACAAACCAAATACATATAAATAACGTAATACAAACTGGTGCATATAAATAACCTAATAAAAACAAACTACATTAAAATATCATTCTACAAACGCAATACAAATTAAAAATACGGGAGATCTTTTAATAGATTCCAAGGGCCTTCAAACTCGAATTCTAACACGTCCTAATGGATATGTATTCCGCTTTAGCCGCGTACAGGATGACTTCTTCATCTTCATTCAGACGTGCGTGATCAATTTTGGTATAAAGATTGTTGAAAACCAAGACTTCTGTTTTTAATTCATACAATTTTGTTGTGATGTCAACAGTGTTGCGGTAGTTTTCTGGGGCAGTTTGAGGGTCAGCGTTGAAGGCATAAGTTAAACGCGTCCAATAACTTGGATCATTCACCCTGGTGGTCT